CGCCCCAAAACCCCAAAACCCCAAAACCCCAATTTATTTTTAAGTATTGACTTAGTACGTCATCATAACAAGTTTTTTAATTTGTAAAATTTAGGTTTTTAAAGGAATGGAGAACAATTTAGACATAGAGCCTTATAACAAAGACTACTGGTACCCCGATTCTCATGAATTTATCAGAAAGGCTGAGTGTAGCCCTGAAGCTTATGCCTTTGCTAGATCCCGAGTTGCAACAAGCTCATTAGCCAATGACGTGACCACTGGTAAGGAATGGAACAAATTCAAGATAATCCCAGACGAATACAAAACAGTGGAACTCACAAATGGCTCGCTAGAATACATTGACAACGATCCTGTAAGTCCAAAGGAGGCCAAAAATGATACTTCATATAGGAAGGAAAGCTAAACGATGCTTTACCCATGGTATTCATCCATGGGTTCTTAGGCCATGCTTTTGAGTTCAAACCTTACCTTGACTACTTCGCAGACAAAGTCAGATGTATCTCCATTTCTGTGCTTGGCCTAGAGAAGCACTTTGACAAGCCCAAGGACTTGAATGATGTCAGCATCAAGAATTACATGGACCTTATTGTAGAATTTGTAACAGAGAAGTTGAAGTTTAAAAGAATTGTACTTGTGGGACACTCCTTTGGAGGAATCTTCTCCAATGCATTTTGATATTATAAAGAAGAGTTAGTAGCAGGAGTCAGTTTCAATGCGATTAGCAATATCTCCTCTCATTTAGGGTTCTTGGCATATACACAGTCAAGTTATGGGATAATGTACCAGATGTGAGATGAGGATTGGAAGAATCTTCCTGATTTGAACGACAGAGATTTCCAGAAAAAGTATCAAGAAATAGCTAATAAACAAGTAAAACTTCATTAATTTCATTTAGGTGGAGGATTATTATCTTGACCATCAAACCTCTGAGGATGGGAAAACAACTTACTTCCATTACTCCATTCCTGAAGACCCGTATGAATCAATATAGTATCTTTCTGCTACACAAGGACCTTCCTTCGGGCCTCTTTTGGAGTACTCTTTGTCTCTGACTCTTCTAGCACTATTTGCCAAATTTGTTCAAGATGTTCACTTGGGGAGAGAAAGACTTTGTTGCTGATACCACACGGGTATATCAGAGTGTTTATGAGTATAATAAAGGGACGAGACAGGTAGATAGGGTTGACAGTTTTAGATCAAAACTAATTCACAGTTCTTACAACCAATTAAAGGCGTTGATTATTGGTCAGCCTCTAAGGAAGTTAAGACTAGGCTTTTTGGGTCTGAAGAGGTGTTTGAGCTTAAGCTAAAGCATATCGTAGAAGATAATGAGTATTTACATGAAGCTCAGATCGGGCATTGTCATGGATTTGAGGATGAGAGGCATAATGTACATACTAAGAGATATAAATATCTCATCCCAGCATTAGAAAAATACTATTTAGACGTTTGTTTGGTAGAAGAGCTTAAAGGAAAACAACAAGCAAAGATTTAAAATGCACTTCTGTACCCAGCTTCAACATATCCAGATTTCCCTGGGGTTTTGGGGTTTTGGGGTTTTGGGGTTTTGGGG